TTATGTAATATATCTACAAGGATGGGCGGCTTAGATCATTTTTTGGTTTTCTTATAACGGGAGAGTACACAATTAGCCACATTTAGTATATCTATTAATTATGTTTTCAAGTACATGATGATCAATTCCAAGTCCTAGTGTATCTTATTAACAGCCCATAACGTCGTAAAGGGCATTAACATCAGCGTAAAAATTTTCACACGAACATAATATACTTGTCATTTTCAAGTCATCCACCTACTGCATCTGGTCATGATGCTTAATATTCGCGATGACCAAATTGGCACAGTCATCAAAGGTTAATCTTTTGCATAGTTGAAGTTTGTCATGCTGTTGTAAAGCGCAAAAGACTAGTGAAATTGAACTTAAAACCCAGCAAATTAATTTGCGAGTTAACAGAAAGATTAACTTTTTGCCATAGGATTGTCTTGAAGGCGGACTATGATCTTGAGCCCCTGGGGTTATTATTTTAACTTCGCGGTGACTATGATTTTGTATCGAGTCGAAAAATCTATTTCTGACAACTTTAGGAAAGGAAAACAGTTACATCAGACAAGGTTCCATTAATAACATGCGGAATAAAACTATTGATATTTTATCAACTTTTTTCATATTTCTGTCAGGTCAGCTTAAAACCTTATTTAAAGGTAATAAAAGCACATGAATGCTGAGGTCGACGCCGGTACCGAATGCGGTAGCGATTGGCCTATTTGGTCACACTGTTCCATTCTAGCCTTCTAGTTGTGTAAATCTTATGGCTACGTATAGGAGCTTTAGTGTTTTTGATCTCATTAAATGCTCGAACGTGTGAGTAGTGCTCATAACTTATACGCTTAGCGGTTAACAAAACCGTTAGTCCTTGCTGCAATACATGCTTTAAAACACAATTGCAAATCCTCTTAATGAGATGGGCAGTTCTGTTCTCTCGTAATTCATAAATGAATATAGGTGTAGGCCTCTTGATGTTCAATGAATTTATCTTTTAAGCTTATGCTAGAATGATGGTCTTTTCTACGCAAGTCCTATTGTATTGAGCACTTTCTTGAGCCTGAAACTTGTAACCATCGGGGCCTGATATTGATTAGCTTGTGTTGTACGTACTCACTTATTCAAGTCAAAAGTTGCAATCGTTAACTATGAAAACCTAATATTTGATATTTCAAGAGCACAGACACTTTAACCATAGCTATAACCGTTACTTCAGTTTATTATTAATTCAGTGTCTCCGCATTCCTCAGCGATTAGCATAATTGTTATATATTTAAGTGTAAGTGCTAACTGATTATGCTCGGCTAACTGGCATGGTTCTTCTGTTTAGTTATTTTTTTGAATTTATAAAGTTTAATATGCTGAACCAAGAAGTTTTGATTGATGCTTGGTACAAAGGTGCTTTCATGAAAACGCTCTTTTTAATTCTGCAGTCATAGCCTTCAAAGTGATGTGAATTATTTGGACCATCACTCTGTAAACTAAATTTCACAGTATAATTTTAGGAAACTGATATTCATAGGTGAAATCTTAACGAAACTTCCACCTGATGCGAACTGTGCGCTAATAAGCAGCACTTGCTCATGCAGAAGAATATTTGTTACGTTCTGTCAGCTTGCCCTCCGTCGCCAAATCGTTCGTGGCAACTGCGAGGTATAAGTGGTTTGTAATCCAAGTCATTATGTGTGTACGGCCTAGTTATGTGCTTGGGGTACTGTAACTTAGGCCGTATCTTTCGCAAATGTCGATTTGGGGTCATAGGAAGGCATGTTTCTTCTAGAACAATGACTTTGTGTGATGCACATAGGACGGCCTCTAATGTTCGTTGTCGCCTGCATCTTTCATTTATACATTTCCAAAAAAAGTCTAATTTTAAAATTAGCTATTTCTTTTTAGGAACTTGGATCCGTTCACAGAAACAGTATCCTTTCTACAGAATGGGTTAGATCCTATTTACTTAGGTAGATTTTGAGCCAAAATGTATTTATTGCAATTGAAAAACTTTCCAGGGAACAGTAATAGGTGGACAAAATTATAAGAGCGTTCTTATTTTACTGACTCATATTTAGTTCGACTAAGTTATGTATTCGTGTTTTCTTGTGACCAAATCTGGTATGTTTATCTTGTTTTCTGTTTCCGTCAAACGGAAGTAAATTCATTAGGTGGTTATATAAGCCGATACCAGGTTCGTGATAGTTTTTTTTTCCAACGTTTTAGTTTATTCGCAAGTCTAGTGTGCTTCCTTAGCCGCAATGTCAACTAAACTCACACTTTCAACTTTAGCCCTTTTACTTGCTCTTTCGGTTAAAATTTGAAATACTCCGATGATAGCATGTTTCCTTTTTGAGTGCTGAACAATGCATATAGTACCCTTAACTGACATCACATAGTACAGCTTGAGCTACTATATGCACTACATGGCCACCTGGCCGGAGTACATGCGGGTTGTCGAATCTCCTGTACTGACGGCTTTTTCATCCAAAGCAAAATCCGTATTGGGCGGTCGAATAATGGGTTATATGGTTGCCAAATCAGAAGGCCAAGGTGAAAGTTGGCATGGTCACGTAACAGCACTCTCTGTCGCCCCAGAGTATCGCCGAGTCGGTCTCGCCAGTCGTCTTATGCGTGGTTTTGAGGATACATCGGAAAGGTGAGGTTTTGTACTTTTATACTTTGTTTTACGAGCGGTTGTTTCTCTTGAACTGCTAATCAATCAAGTCACAGTCTAGTAGCTCTATTTTTGGTCTCAATTTACGTGTTTTATTATGTTTTATTCGTTTCCTTTGCCAAAGCTAGGAAATGTCTTGATGGCGAGGTGTGTATAGCCGACTTGAATAATTTCCCAGTATATTATGTTCATTCAATTATTCTATCTTTTCTGTTTATCCATTGCCCTGTATTCCATTGTCGTCCTGATTATTTATTGTTTGGATCATATGCGCGACATAAAGATGTTGCAGCTGCGTTTCAATAGGGACGTAAAAGTTATCTACAACATTTGTGTTGAAATATGAAGTCTACCCTGCTTACCTAATCACAAATCAACATTGCCTGCGGTCAAGTTTTGCCCAAAGTTTTTCTAGTTAAGTCTCACCATTCATTTTCCTAGCTTTGGATGCTGTTAAGGGCAAGGTGGGAGGTGGAATTTGGTGTACTACAATTTCGTCTTGAAGGCTTTGATTATATTCCCATATTGTGATCCTCATAACTCATGCCCGTATAGTCAATTAGACATTTGCGTGGCCGTCTTAATTTGCTTCGAAAATGGGCGCCTTTTCCTCTTAATGGACAAAATTTGACTGTTAAAATCCCAGCATTTATTGCAAGTGTATGGACGTATAGCTGTCTTGAAGCTACATCATCGGATTTCTCTGCTTGGGGTAATGAGATGTTTGTGGCCTATCTCTCTTCAATTACATTTTAAAATCCCGTTTTTAGCAGATTGAAAAAATGCAAACTCATTACACAATCCTAGATCTTGTTCTATTCCACAGTGGCTATGACCGTCACATACCTGTTTTATTTCAAGAATTAAGACAGCTATAACCAGCTAAAGTAGCCCACACACATAAGTAGCGATTTGTGCTTCTCCTGATGTTTCCAGTTGTGCGCATTTGTTTTCACGCTTACCCATGATGAGTGCCTGAGAACACCTGCTTGTCCATCTATAGAAAAAAATGCTACTTCTCTGACCTCTTTGTACGCGCCTCCAATGGACTAGGACACTCCGTTTACACGAAAATGGGCTACATCGTCTACCGACGAGTGCTAAATTATTATTCAGGCAAAGATGATGATGAGGATGCTTTTGGTGAGCAGTTTATGCATTTTGGTAATAGTAACAGCCGTATACCGAGTCATCTGTAAATTTGGATTGTTACGGATTTATTTGTACTCTAAGTTTCCTGTTAAAAAAATAGTTAAGGAAATTTTAAATTGGGTAGATTAATTATACAGATTATAATCAATTTGCCTCTAATTTACAATTAATGTCTAAACAGTATTGCTTATAAGATTCTTAAAAGTACTATGATTTCTGGTATTGAATTGGAAAATAAGATCAATGTACACTTTCATCGGATCCACATTTTAAATTTGATCTGGGATAAACGAAGCTATTTATTAACAGCGAACGCTTTTAGACTTTATTCTGGGAAAAATAGAGTTTTTCGGTGGACATCAAAAAACGACACGATGATGAGTTAATAGTGATTTCTTTACTAATTCGGTGTGACTTTTGCAGAATAATTGTTTCATGTGCTACGCTAAATACCTCGAACCTAACTTGTTTGGCAATTGCTTTTCGACAAGTTGTTTTTTGGATTTAAATTTTTACGTTTGCTTTCAGTGGTCAAGTCCTGATAGCTAAACTGGGTTCACTTTTTTCTTTAGATATGCGAAAAGCTCTAACAGCTGACAAAGAAGGTCGGTCGGTTATTCCATTAACGCGACATGTGAAGGTTGAAGAATTGGAATTTAACTGATGGTACCTTTTCTATAATATACCCATATTTTGTTTCCCGACTTCTTTTATCTCCAATAATGGGTAACTTTAACTCATTGTTCATTGTAACGATTTATTTAAGGCCGCGGGAGTCGACTCAACTGGCGAAGTTAATTTTGTTTTTTCTCGCCTGAACACACGTTTGGCAGGACCCCGGCAACTAGACTATTTCTGCAAGTCGTATTTACCTTGCTTGGTGTTTGTCGGGAATTGTGGTTTTTTCCTCGCCAATCTTTAGTTGTACTTTCTAGTGCCTTTTTTCTTCATTAGAACATGATAAATTTTGTCGATTTATGCGCAACTTTGAATATCTCAAGGGGTCTACCTCCAAGTCGTCTTGCGAGCTGTTGATTTAATTGTGCGCTTTTAATGTTTGAGCAGCTCACTTACGATTCCCAAGTTGTCTTAATATGGTAGGAAGCAAAAATGCGCTCTTAGAAGCGGATATTTAAGGCGTTAAATAAGACTTTGCCGTCAGAGTGTGGCGGTGACCTCCGTTCATCATCGTGGCCGGACTAAACTTATTCTTGGGATTCAGTTAATCTAATGGGCATGTAATTTATGCGTATTTACTGAAGCATGCTTTACACGCCCAAGAGAATAGGTGCTTTCGTTGAACACAGATTGCGACTAGAGGGTGCTCTGGTTATAAGTATTGACCTATCTAGAGCGGTTCAGTTTGGTGTGTTTACACATAATTTGACAATATCGGTGTGCCTTATCCGCGTTTCCTGTCTGAAGACGGACAGGTCATTGTCTTTGTTTGCATGATGTGGTGTTTAAGGTAAAACGCTGACAGACATGCATCAGGCTAACTTCACGCATTCTCTTGAGCGACGTGTGTATCCAAGACTCAGGTTTAATTTGTAGGGTAGTTGCTTCAACCTGCGAGTTCCAACCAGTATTCAGAAGCCCATTACATGGAATAAATTTAATACAGTGCGTAAGAACTCCAGATACTAAGCCTAACTTTAACCACTGATCCCACGGGAAGTTATTAAGCAATGAAAATAAAATATATTCATTGAAATGCACTGTAATCTGTGTATGGTTAAAGACAGGAATTGTGCTAAAACATTGTATTTCGATGATGTGAATATCTAAAATAGCACAAAATACTTGTAAGCGAATTAAAGCTCTAAGTGCATACACTCTGTGAGCTGAAGGGCAAGTACACTCACCTGTGTTTTATCCAGGTAAATAGGCAATAGAAGATTCAATGTGATATCTAGCCTGCGAACTAACCTGCGTTTTGACGGACTGACGCAAGCTCCACAAAGAACCATGGGTCGAAAGCCTAGATTTTGATTATTTATATGAAAATGTGCCAATGTGTTCTACCATCAAATTATCAAACCTGGCGAAACTGTAGACTCCGACTGTAAAAGTAATCAGCTGTGGGGTTCGGAGATACAAGTTAAAAGGAAATAAAATCATGAAAGTAGACCGCCTTTATATCGATAACTCAATGCGTGATTTAGTACAGACTGCTTCATCCGTAAATATTCATCTGTGCTTTAAAAAAATTTAAGATAGCTCGAATGGCCTTACAAAAATTAATGAAAAACATTTAGTTGCAGACAAAAGCAGAACTGTGAAATAGTTAATCAACTGACACTACCGTGAAATCAACTCGTAAACGCCTCTACACATGCATTCTGCTGTTCAAACACTCAACCAGTCTTTTCACGAGTTGGCGTCCTGAGCTGTAACGCCATTATCGGATTTTGCATTCAATGAAGTTTCATCTCACACAAACACCGAGCATAAGGCAGTTGATTATTTGAAGTAGGCCAAACTGGGTTATGGGAAAAGTTTTCCCTGCGTGACTTGGTCGGGTGAAAAGCGATAATAGCATAATACCTTAATTACGGGATGAGTTCGGAGAACAAATTTACATTCAAAAACATTTGGTTAAACTTATCAAATTGAGGCCATTGAAAACCCGAGAACATTGCGGGTCACGGCCATACATGGCGTCCTCGGAGGGAGGCCTGACATTCTGAGGATGCATTGTATGTATGCCTACTATCTGTGCATTGCGTTTAGTGTGTAAAGCCACTAAATAGCTTCAGGCATGCGTATTTCGCGGCACGGTACACATAAGCGTAGACTTGTAGTTGTGGGCACGTAATTTCATGGTTAAAACAGCACACAACACACGATCGAAGTTTGAACTTTGCGCCCTGCGAACAAGCCTTAACTGAATACAGAAGCCAAGTTCCTAGGTCAAAGCGATACAATGTGTGTACTTCTGAAGTCAGGAAGGGTCGTTCTCACTCCCTCAACACCATGTCAGAAGGCAGCAGATCTAACAGTTTATAAGAAGACAGTAATTCATCTCCAAGAAAGACCGGAAATTGTGCACGCAAGTTAACGCATGACATCCAATACTCTTGACACATTTCATAGAACTGAGAGAGGGATTTGCAAATCATGCCACTTATTATTCATGCGAAGATGTCTCATTGGACGATCGTAGTGAGGTAGCGAATACGGAAAGCTTGGGGTGAGCCATGTTAAAGAGTGATGATGAAAAGTTAACTAACGTCAAACCCTACCATTTGGGATAAAATGTGGCAGAAATGTTAAATTGGCTCGAACAATGAAGCTGATAAAATTATTGGTTGGGTAGACAGTAAAGCTTCAATTAAAAAAGGAGCTGTAATTCCATAATTCGACACCGTTGAAAACTGTCTAATTGTTATGTACCAGTATGCTTTTGTTCAACTTGCGAGAACAAACGAGATTGCTGCTTAAGTGTGCATCTCAGTTTTTAAAACTATTATATTTTAAACATTGGTTGCTATTCTCTTGTCTAGCAACTATATTTATCAAAAAATTCCTTTTATGACTATTTATGAACAGATTAAGTCGAGATGACTTAGACTTTAAGGACATTCTACTGTTTTAGATCTCTAGTAACTATCGTTGGTTTGATTTAAATAGTACTTAGGAATCATCCGAATTAATCACACGAATATTTTTTATGATTTATGAACCGGAGGTTTGTAGCACAGCAATACTCTAATTAATCGGATGTCTGTAACGTTTTTTTCTGTTGCCAATTCATGCTCATTGTCATAATTCCTCAAACAGGCCTAAAAATGAATCACTGAGAATTTTCTTTGGTCTTCCAAAATGCGCCTGTACTAAAACTAATTAGAAATCGAAAACTAGTACATGTGTTAAATTGCTTTGTGAGATAACAACCCATCTTTGAAATAACCTGTAACACATAGTCACGCAGACGAGTTCCGATACATTCATGAAATCCTTCGATTGGATCATCAGTGCATCCAGTCAAACCGAAGTCGGAGTGGACGACGCAGTTCCATAAAATCAACCCAAAAATTCTTTTGTCCAAACCTACTTCACGAAGTTTTAGTAGCCACATTTTATTAAAGGTGTGCTTTCATAAATTACCTAATTTTAACCAATTAATCAATTATAATCATTTCCCAATGGGTTGAAACCTTTATTCTGGATGTTACATTTCTTAATAAGACTTCTTTTACAATAATTGACGAGCAAATATTTTGTTGGACCAAGGGCTACACAAGCAAAAGGGTTCTCGTGTTTTTTGAAAATTGCATAGCAATCTTAATTTACCTATAGTTTCATTCAAATCCTTTAGAAGAAGTAGGTGGTTTCATGTAAAATCCATATCTTACGCCTTTTAATACAATTAAAGTTACTTGAGGTGACCGTGCTGCACTTCATAATATGAACGAAGAATAGAAGCTAAGAAAGCACCAGTTTGCTTATTAATCCGACGAAATTTCTACGGGTGAAGATTCTAGGCATATTAGCCAATCAGATGTTAGGAATCAAACGAGTTTTGTGCTTGGGTCATTCTTCAATCCAAACGACTAATATCATGTACATTGCATCTTATGTTTATCAACTGCCTCAAGTAAACTGCCAGTGGTGCTCATGCATTTTTAGTTTAATTAACAAAATACTTGACTTTGTTGTACTTTCAATTCTTTTTAGAATCTTGAGGTTAAAAGCGTTTTTTAAACGGTATCCTAAGAATGCTACTAAATTCGCAGGTTCGCAACACCAGTGCACTTGTCTCTCAACAGGTTTACCTCACTGTTTATCCAATCAAAATGGTACACACTTAAGTGCGACGACATTTGTAGGTGATCTTGTGTAAACTTGGACGATCGTCATTCTATCTGATCTGGTTACTACGTGAGGGCCAATAAAACTAGTTTTAATGACATTATTCTGAATGTTAACTAGATCATTGCTTCTGCTCACTGCTATAATCTACTGCGCTGATTTACTGAAAAATGTAAGTTTGAACTTTATCTTTTTTAACGGACAATACTTAACTTCACTTGAATTCTCTTTTTAAGGGTTCCAATATTGTCAGATTACTTAAGACAACTTATTACCGTCTTTCATTCAACTGCAGTCAGATTGGGTTTGCTGCTGAGCGGACTTGCCGCTATCGTAAAATAAGGGTTTCGTTTTTTTCAGAAATCACGAAAAATGACTTTTAGAACAAAACTTTCAAGGTCGTGACGATGTTTTTCTTACCATGTTGAGCTATTGATTATAAGAACACCTGTGCGCTGTATTCTCCTTTTTATATTATTCACATCAAGCTTCATAGTTGAAGTGCTAGCTGCACAAAAATTTCCCTCATTGTACGTGCAGCTTTCATCACGTTTCCCATGTCTTAGTTGATTTTTAGCAGTGCATCCGCTGAAGGAGATGAATTTCATTTCTCTTAATCTGGAAACGTATACTACTTAATAGTTTCAAGTTTTAGAATCTTGTTTAAGCGTCGGTGTTGCTGATAATACCTCAGTAGAATCTAAGTAGCCTCTTATGTCATTTTATTTGTTAATAATTCGGTTCGATTTAGACATTATTTGTCCATTTTTCTGAACTTTGATCAGAGCCTAGATGCACCTGATCGAACGTAAAATTGTTAATCGTTTCTTGCCTCAGTAGCTTGAAACC